TTAAGTGTAAACATTTAATTTAACCTGAGTTTTGAGTTGGTTTAACTTATATTTATAGGTAATAATGCATAAATAATATATAAAATATCTTAAATTGTACTTAATTTAGGCGGCAGTAGTATCCAGCTAAACGTCGCATTGCGTACTTAAGAAAAATATAATGATATTAATAAGATTTTGATGTAAATCTATAAAATTGGATCAAAGATAAATTTTGTGAGTTCTCGATTTAAGGATTTTCAGGTCTTTATTAGGTATATTTTATTTCATATAGGTATAGGGGATGTTGGGTACTTTTTTTGTGCCGAATTATTATCGAATAGATATTAGAATAACGTTTCCAATATTTTTTTAGAAATTTATTGGCTTTGAATTAGAACACATAATCAATCAGTAAATATTAGAAAGGTCGGGACTACAAGTCACGATCTCTGTTGATAATCAGTAGATACCTTTAACCTCTAACTTTTTTTTTTTAAATTAATGTTCATTAGGGCTACCAAAAGAATTATGCCGGAAATATATCAAATGTAACATAGAAATCATTGATCCTTTCCTCTATAATATGTTAAATATAGAGAATGAGTTTTGGTATTGCAACTAGCTTTTAGTGCGTCGTTTTTTAACTTAAAAGAAAGCTATTTGTGAGTTCATTTTTTTTTTTTTATTTTTTTTTTATTCAACGTTATGTTTTTTTTTTCTTTAAATTGTCAATCGACATCATCTGTTGCTCTGAGAGAAAACGACATTTGTATGAACATAACGGGATCAAGATATCGAACTGTTCCACAAGGTGTTTTAGGGAGAATATTTTTAAAATTAGCAGAGTAGATAAGGAAGAAGTCGAAACAGTTCGAAGTTCCGTTCAGTAGAGTTCTCATAGAAGAGCAAAGGAGCAAAGGAGAAGGAAATTTTCGCAACTCAGAGTAGTAATAAAGAATGACATCTGATCTCTGAGAACTCAGAACATATTTTATCTAAAATAAAACCTAAAGAATTCGACAAAATAGGGAAGCACTAGTATATACTCGTACAAACCAACAATCGCTATCAAAAACTTGCTCTACAAAACTGGAACTGGCGCCTCTGTTAAATTTGCAACAATTTTCAACATTATTTTGCATTAATTTTTCATTTTTGATATTTTTTTTGGTTTTTGATTTTAATGAACAAAATTGGTAGCTCATTTTAAACAAGTTNGGCAAAATTTTGGAAAATCGTTTACCTCGAAAGCAAACAGGCAATTTGCGAATAATGTGCTTACAGTAGACAAGTGAAAAATTATCAGTTTTGTGTGTGTGTACATCAGCTTGTAGCTGCTTGTAATTAAAATATTTTCATAATAGACTTCAAAAATAATTTGCTCGCACTTTTATAACTTTAGACAGCACAACACATTGGAATTTTAAACAGTCGGTACAATTAACTCCTACAGAATATTTGTATACCCCGAACAGAGTATACATATTAAGTTTGCTATAAAGACCCTATAAAATATATATAAATAAATGATCAGCGTGACAAGCTGAGTCGATGTAGTCATGTTCGTCCCTCAGTTTTTGAGATATCGATTGGACATTTGGCACACGTCCTTTTCTCCAAAGAATGAATTATTTTTCCGAACCGCAGATATGGAGTTCTTCTATAGAAAACTTTTTATTTGACAATATATCTTCGCGAAATTTGGCACAAATTATTGTCCAAAGCAATTCTATAATGTCCGAATATATTGTTGAGATCAGACAACTATAGCACATTGCTGCCGTACAAACTGAATGATCAAAATTAAGTTCTGATATGGAAAAATTTTGTATTTGACAATATATTTTCCGTAAATTCGGCACAACTGGTTGTCCAAGGCAAAACCACAATCTCTGAAGAAATTGTGTAGATCGGACTACTATAGCGTATAGCTGTCATATAAACTGACCGATGAAAATCAAGATACAAGTGCACCTGTGAAGGGTATAATAGTTTCGTGGCAGCCGAAGTTAACGTTCTTTCTTTGTTTTTTTATTTTTTGTTATTGCTTTGGTTTTTGGTGAAATCCCACGCGATGCAGTAGTTAGTTGTAGGCAAATGCATATGTAAGTATGTTTTAGTAACTGCCATATGTAAGTGCAAGTGCTGGTTTTGCTGTGCTGCTTTATTTATTGTTGTTGAAGTTGTTGTATCCTTTATTATTATTGTTCAATATGCTGAAGTGAAACATAAATATACTGCATTATCGGTTGCCAAGCATTCACAGAAAAATACATATGTGTATTACGTATGTGCACTTGTACTACAATACTAGCACGTATGTGTGTGTGTGTTGTGCGAGGAAGAGGGTGGAGTTGAAAATAAGCGCCCCTGACCCAATGCAATTTTTTAACGAAAATTTTAATAACTGCAATAACCGACCAATTCAAGCTGCACAGCATGTAATTGTAAGTATTTATGAGTTTGTATGACTGTATGTGTGCGATTGTTTACTTGTTAAGAACAACTAACTGTAAACGAATTAAAATAATTGAAGTCATTACCTGGCCACAAAATAACGACAAATATAGAAGTTACACATACTAACAAACAAATTACTGTATTTTTATTTTATATAGACATGTATGTATGGGTGTGTGCGGCATGTCAATTGAGATATCAATTACAAAAATTACAAATGCCTAAAGTAATTACATATTGCTATTTGACAATTATTCATATGACTTTGAGTGTGGTTGTAAAGAAAAAAAAATTAAAAACAGTGTTGATAATTGGAAATTACAAAAAAAAAAACAATGCATGTGAGTCACTTCGCATAATAAACTGCATATAAACTAAAAGTATGCAAATTGATTGGCTTATGAGATTATTGACATGTTGCAAATACTTGAATGTGACATTTAAATTGACTTGTTAAATTTTATTTGTTATTTGTATTCAAATATAGAATCTGAATACACAAAACAAAAAAAAAAACTAAAATAATATAAAATAAAAAAATTTCAATATTATTTTGAATTTTTTTTATAAGCTAAAAATTAAAATTGTAAAAACTTAATATATAAAAGAAAAAAATTTGTATAAAAAAAAAACATTTTTTTTTGAAAAATTAAAAAATTTGTATAAAAATTAGAAAAAAACAGGTTTTTTTACAAACTTCAAACGAATGGCATCAACACACCTTAGTTTTATATATATATATAGATTTGTTGCATTGTTGTTAATTTACTACAGCATTCAATTAGTCAGACCACGCGTCAGTCGCATTTTTTTGCTCCTCACTCGCTTCAACATTATTTAGCTGATAAATTTTTCAGAATTAATTACTTCTATTAAGTACTTACACAAATAACACTGTGAGCGTGAAGTGATAAATGCGCGTGTGTAACGAAATATACACAATGTCATGAATAATAAAATTATTATGTTACCACTGGGCGATTTTGTTGTAAACACACTGTAATTTGTAAATTTCTCAAAAGCTTTGGCATTTTTCAATTTTTAAGTTTTTAGAATGAAAATATTTTTAATTTTATTATTATGACAGTCGTTACACAATACGATTTATATTAATTAATATTTGAATAATGATTCCATCACTCATTGCACACATCCGTCATCAAATATTTTAAACACAATATAAATAAAGAGGAAAGTATACTTGAAGAAATTTAAGGTTTAGCGGAAGTCAATAAATTATTGCCGGAAGAAATGATGATGGGTTTCCGAATCGATTTTTGTGGGGTTTTCTTTAGGATTGACTTTGAATAGTCTTCAAAACGCTCGAAATAACTTAAATACCTCAAGTGAAGTAGATTACCAGATCCTACGAATCTTTAAGCAACACCAAGGAAATTTTATTCATGTAGCATTAATCAGGACCATATTTTTACTTAGAGCCCCGAAAAATGTAAAATGGAAATTCCACCTTGGTCCTTGGTGATACAAGTTCAGCTCTTTTCGCATTCTGGCTTAAACACAGCCACCGAAAGGGCCGACCGCAATGAGCAGATTAGAGCGAACCAATAAAGCTCATTGTTCTGCGCAGTGCCAGAATAAAGTCTTCGGTCGGACCTCGTAGCCAAAGCTTCTTTCAATTCAGCTCTTGACTCGTTTCGTGCGTTTCCATAACAGTCGGGTCTACGTAACTGAAACGGAGACGGATTTTTATGCGGTCAAGAACTGTCAACTCGCATTTCTCCACATTATTTCAGCTAGGTTTTATGCTGCTACAACCAGAACAATCATATCATTTCATCTATAGCCAAATATATATTTTTGACCTTCATTCTGTTACCAAATAGAAGAGATTTTAGGTTTTTAATCTCAGACTTTGAGAAGAGTTAATCTCAAAATTTTTTTGACAATAACTCTCGCTCAAAATGAAGGAAGTAACAAATGGAAAGTATACTGGAAACTCCCTATTAAATGTCAAACCAACATTAAATAGAAATAGGGTTGCCATATGGTAGAAAATATTTTGACAATAAAAGATAAATGGAGTATAATAGTTTTGACATGTAAAAGAAATTATTTGAGGACCTTTGACAGAATTTCATTGAACGGGTTTGCCAATCATATTAGGATTCAAAAAGAAATAGTCGGGGTACAAAAATATGAATATTAGTTTCGAAAGGATCGATATGTAAATACGAATTCGCTATGTAAAAAATTGACAGTTTTTCTACAAAGGGATTGCCATGTAACTAAATAGTTTAATATAGTTCATAAACTAAACATGCATCAAACGTTGTGTATAGAAAAATCTGCGATGTAGAAAACTTCATATAAAAAAATATTTTTAGGTAAACACCAAGCTTAAGCTAAAGTATTTCATGAAAAAAGCTTAAATATTCTAAATTTTTAGTTGTACGTTACCATAAAAAATATTTTTAGGGGGTTTCTGTACAAATGTATTTAATAGAGAAGCGACTATTATTGAATTAAAAAATATGAAAACATGAGTAGAAATTACAATTAATTAAAATTATTAAGCAAATAAAAAGTCAACTACTTACATAGGACATCGGGACCTGATTGTTGTTGTTTGTGATCATGCCGTTACGTTTGCCCAGCAATGATTGGTTCATGCGATTCGTACCGTAGTACATTTCCCAAATACTCGGCTTCTTTCGATGCCATTCCAAAATGGAATCCTTATCACCAGATTCGCCCGATTCAGCGCCACTACCGTTACCGTTACCGCCGAGAGCACCAGCGCCGTTACTACCCTTACCGTTAACTTCGGCGTCTGTCGGCGGAGTTTGCAATGACTTCGCATCTAATTTGTTCAGTATCGGCTGTTGGAAGGACAGATTACGCTGTAATTGTGTTGTAGGCACATGTAAAGTAATGACATTTTGATCGTGTTCCCGTTGTCGTAGTTCTACACGAGCGCGACGCGGTAACGAAGAACGAAGTTGCTGTTGAGCTATCTGAGTCGCGGGTGTTTGTAACTTTTCCGACTCGGCATAACAATCGGTGACGGGAAAGACTTCGGTAAGGGATTTGCGTTTCATTTTAAAATTCGGATCACTCGCGCAGCGTATGGAAACGATTTGTTCGCGTATACTAGATGGCACGCCATCGCATATTGCTTCGTAGTTACCGACATAACCGTAATCCGATTCGATTGTACCGAGACTGTGCGTTGAGCGACGACGTTCGAATGCCTTCTTCATTTTGACGATATTATGATTGCGCACAAGACCGCTACACAGTTGGCGTATCTCCAATTCACTATGCTGATTCATGCGATCTAAATAGTTTTCTAGTTCGTTTTTCAGCGTCTTGATCATGCCCTCCAATTCGCGCGGCAATTGTTCGGTGGGTGCGGTCACACTTAATGGCATATCAGGATTATGCATATTGGCGCTGCCACTGCGGCTGGAGTTGCCGCTCGCCTGCGAGAGCAAACGTATTTTATCGCGCACATCTTCGAGCAGCTCACGTGTGTTCTGAAAGTGCAGCTGATCCTCGTAACGTTTCATATAATGATCGGCTACCGAGACGGACTTCTCCGAGATGGTGCTAGTGCCAGCAACTATATCACTTTCAACATGATACGCATCATCCGGGCAGGAATTGATATATTTCGCACACTTATAATTATTCTCCTCTTCCTGCTCCTCGGTGAGAAAAGTGGGATTATCGATGCCACCAACAGCATGCAGAGACGACTTACGTGCGGACTTGCCGATACCGTCGGTTTTACGTTCGTTGACTAGCAGAAATGAGTCGAGGTCAATGTCGAGCAGCGAATCATCCACCATGTCATCGGGCCATGAACGACGTGGTTGATTGGCGGGATCGTAACCTTCCATAATGGTGGGCAATTGATGTTGCGCCACATGCGGTGGCACGCGCGTAGCCAACTTATCGCCCATCTCGGCGGACGCCGTTTGCAGGTACGCAAGATGATGATGATGGTGATGATGATGTGCCTGTACAAATGCAGCAATGTGTTCATGAGAACTCAGACTTGGAAAATTCTTTAAATGACGATCGAGATTCTCTATGCTAGTCTCGAGTATGCGCAAATTTTCGCTGAAGTGCTGTGATGTGGCATACTCATCTGAGGTTTGTCGTTGTAATAAGAATTGCAAACTAGCCGGTATTTTATCCGCGCCGAAAGCTGTCTCTGCGACCGCCTGTGACTTGCGTCCACCCTTGCAGTTGCTACGCCGCGCCACCGCGGCCGTCGCAGACTCATCCTCTGCATCGCCATCACAATCATCCTCACCGTCCAGCTCACTACAACCTGCAATACCACTTTCGCCATTGCGACTAGTCACCGCTGTAGCGTTGCGTCGTCCATAACAACGTTTCGTTGCGCCACCACCTTTACTACTCATTTCAGTTGTTGTTTGATTACTTTTGCTATTATCACCACTATTGGCATTGGCTTTTGTATTCGTGCACTCTAAGCGTGCACTTTTACTTGTCTTACTAGCGCCCCCGATAGCACCGGCACTAGTTCGACTCACGTCTAGGATATCTATAACCGGTTCGCAGTAAATATGCTCGTCCAGTGAATATGTAGAGCAAACGTTCGAACTGTAGTAACCGGACGAGCCACTTTTGTCCGTCGAATAGTGCGACTGATGTGAACTGGTGCGTCCGCGACGCTCGACGCTACCACTCTGTGCTGACTTGGTATCGCCACTTTTTGACGTTTGGCTGACTTTACCGTTGCCCCGTATCGGCGTCGCCACTACTGCTGTCGTCGTCGTCGTCGCCGGCGCTGTTGTTTCGTTGTGTTCGGCAGCGCTTACACCAGACGAGTTAGTTGTTGTTGTTATTGTCGAACTGGTAGACTGTTTCTTGACGCGCACGGCTGCACCCGGTGCCGTGGTGGTTGCTTTTGGCACGGCTGTTGCTGCCTTAGCCTTTGTCGTTGCTGTTGCTGTTGCAGTTGTTGGCGTCTTCGCGGCCGTTGCCACTCTGAAAGGCGCTGTGCTAGTAACGTCGGTGGCGACTAGTAAACTGGCGTAACCATCATTGCTGTTCGCATAGTTTAGTCGGTTTTTAGTAGTTATATGGCTATTGGTGGTGTTGTTGCTTTTGCTATTGCTATTGCTGTTATTTATCGCCTTGGTGTTGGCTATATTCGCAGTAGCGTTACTCTTGTTACTGCTAAGACTATTACTACTGTTGTTATGATTGTTGTTGTTGTTGCTGCTATGTTTGTTGCTAATGGCATTGGTGGTCATCATCATCATTGTTTTACCGCTGCTGTTGTTGCTATTATTGTATTTATTGTAACTGGCACTGTTGTTATGATTGCTGTTTTTCTTGTTGTTGCTGTTATTATTATTATAGCCGCTTTCGTTGTTGCCGCTCGGCTGATGGTGGTTATGGCCATTTTGCAGTAATTTGTCCGCGCGTCCACTGCTGTTGACTGCCAATGGCATTGAATTCGCATTGCCAACACTGGAAAATATACAACCGAAAACAACAACAAATTAATGAAAAACAAGACAAACAAAACGTAAAATTAAGTGAAAATGTTGAAAAGGGAAATTTATTTTAGCCAAGTAGCTCACATATGTGCCTGCTCATGGCTATGTTCGGTTAAAATTTACACACACACACACACAATAAATTTGTATCTGTTTACAAAAAAACATACTATCAAGTTGGCTACTAAATTCTCACCGCATGTGGCAATAGCTGTGTGGCAACTTGAAAAGTGGGCCAAACCACATGTGTCTTTGAGGCTGTCAAATGGACATTCTGGCTGCTTTTAGACGTCTGCTCCATTGCCATTGAAACTGTCTCGTTTGCCCACTGATTAAATATAGAAAGTGGCTGGCGTTTAGTGTTTGCCATTCGTAATATTGACTTAGAAAAGTCTGCGATTGATAAGTTTTTTGTGAGAAATATTTTTTAGCGCCAGCAAAAACCGTTTGGCACAAGTGAGAGCTCATTAAGGCTGCAACAAATATGGTATTGATTTTATTTTCACCTTGACTGGGCTCTATATGTGTATTTAATGTAAGTAATGATTACAAAAGATTTCCTGGTTGATTGTTATCCTATAGACGGATAATTTTTCACTTATGCCCTTGAAGGTGATTGGAAAAATAATAAAAAACTTCTTCCATATTATTGTTGTATTATAATATATAAGTAATTTTCCCATAAATGTGCACCTGTTTGCTGTTGATATAGTGGTATTAAGTTCGGCTTTTGTTACCGCAGTCCTTCTAATGTCGATCTATCTGTGCTGAGTACAATATTTATACTTTAGAATATCTTATATTATATTTTCTTAATAATATTTTGAAATGTCGGACAGATTAGACAATGGTAGTAGGGTTACCAAAAATAAGGAACCTAAACTCGCAACCGGTGTTTCTTAAAAAAAAATCAATTAAGATTACGACTTTACCTCTTATGAAGTTTTTTTCGCCTTCCAAAGCCTTCACTACTTGGAATTTGTCGTCATTTGATTAAATTATTTTGGAACCAATTGTGCGTAACGACGTAACTTAAGAGGTTTGTAGGTTATGTAAGCAAAAGTTCGAGTTTATATGTGTGACAGTATGGGTCACATAGGCTTGAAAGGGTGTAAGGGTTGGAGCTCCTTAAATATCGTCACTATGGTATAACAATGAAACAATGTTTGGAAGACTCTACTCTACAATGTCACTTGACTTTTAACTAATTGTTTTGCAATGGACCTTTCCTAACTATTTAATTTAATAATGTAATTAAAAAATAATATACTATAAATCATTGATGAAGTTCTAGGTTAGAAACCGCGGTTGGGTGTCACACTCAGTACAAATTTTTAATTATGGGCAACAAGTTTAAAGGAAACTTGCACTCTCGTGAATATATGGCAAGTTCAACTCAGTAGAGAAGGGGCGAATAACATTGGACTCTTTTGCTAAGGAATGCTTCATATGTGTTTCCAGATACAATTTAGATACATCTTCTAGTTAGATCCTACGACCATTTACGAGTACGTGATGTTATAGAATGTTAGGTAAAGCAGGACATAGAAATTTATAGACCTAAGATATGAAAGATATGTCTCACCTTAAATATCAGTAAATTTCAGCAAAGAAGTTTTATAATATACCTTTTTTATTACTAAATAGCACAAGGTCATAGGCTGATTGATTCAAAATCATTTAATACCGTTTTTCAATTTAAAATCTTTAAAAAAAAAAACGAATTTATTCACGAAAAATCTTCTTCAAACCAATTTTAACTCTGCGTGCAACCTCGAGATTTATAACAAAACAAAGTTTCACTTTCGCTTTTGCATCATCTTAAGCGCGCAAGCGTCGACCGTAGCTGCAAAAGCGTGCCATCCATTGCACATTTGCAAAACAAACAAAAACAAAAAAATTAAAATTGCCAAATAGAGAATTTCGGATATGCACTTTAAAACTAACAGTAAATATCAGCGCTGCGCCTGCGCCATGCACGATTTATGCGCGAACGAATGAGCGTTTTGGAACGTTTGAAAAAATTCCGTTAATCGTTAAAACACAGACACACACACACATAAACTAAGACACAAAAACCAAAAGCGTTAATAAAGCAAATACAAAAAATAGTAACAGAAGTTAACTGCATTCGATTTCGAAATTCGCACTAAACTCGTTCTAAGTCAAACAGGATTGTGGTGTAAATAACGGTTTTTGGTATGAAAACTTAAGTAACCGCGCGCCATAGTTAGCACAAGTATGTAAGTAAGTCAAGAGGCAAATGCCACAATTAGTCTACGACTCTTGACTGGTCTGTGCGCTAAGTGGCCAGCGTTAGGCCGCCGCTGGCCGAGCGCGCAAGTTTGCCTTAAAAAAAAGCACGAAGAAAAACTAATACGAAAATAATAACAAAAACACAGCGCGTGCACCGGGGCGGCACGTCAAATTGCGACGCAGCAGCGGCTGTCAGCAATGAAAGTGGTTTGACATGACTTCTAATGGCTTTGGCATTTTGTCAAGCCACATCCGTGAGGTAGCACCGGCCAGCTGTAGAATACACATGTAAATATATGCAGCGAGAATTATTTGTTGCTGAGGAAATGTTGTCTTCCATGCAGTTCTTTTTTTTCCGTCCACTTTTTGTATATATTTATGTATGTAACATATGTATGTAAGCACCACTTAATCACGCCCCTCGCTTGTCATTGAGTTGGTTTTTTTTGCATGTAGCTACAGCGCATGCGCGTGCACTCTCATATGACGTTGTGTTGCAAGAATATTAGTATTGCGAAAATTGGTAACACAAATAACATTGATAGAAGCAATAAAAGTATTACAAAGTAATAAAAATGTTGTAAATCATATTTACATTGTTGCTGTTTTCTTATTTAATTTACTAACCATGCATGCAAAAGTCTAACGTTTTTTCGCCGAAAAGGCTAAGGTGTGCATTCGAGCGCATCTCCAGCGACCGTCAATATAGGCTTATTCAACGTTATTTTGTTGTGCTCTTTAACATTTGCCACGCACCCCCGTGCTCTGTATTGGCAGATTAGCTAATTAGTATGTGCTTGCCAGCGGCAAGGCTGAGCTAACTGAACTCAATTTCTGTTTAAATAAAGATGGAGATGTATATATATGACTCAGGGTCGAGTCAAAGGCGGTCAGTTATTAGTTTTTTATATTTTTTATGGAGAACTCTAGACCACTTAGTTGTGTTAAAATTACTTTACTTACAATAAATTACAAGATTTCACAGTACTTTTGTTTAAGAAGCTGGTAACTCTAATAAGCAATAAATATTTTTTCAATATAAATATTAATCAATTTATAATAAATAACTTAAAGCGCATCCATAAAACAGTGGTATAGCTATAAAGGCAATATTGAATAGTTCAGTAGTCTACATTTTGGCGCACTGACAAACTAACCTTTACGAAAAGTTTGTTATACGTCTTTTGAGGGACTTAGGGAGGGAATTTAAAAATTAAGCAATCGTAGCCTATATTGTGGCGTATTTACACAATAAACCACAATATTGAAAGATATGATAAAATAAATGTATTATATGTAATTTTTAAAAAATACGTGACCAAAATTTTGGAATTTCTTTTAATATAAAACATATGACATTCTAACGCATTTAATTTGAAATATTTTGTTTGATTATCATTTTACAAATATAGTTTAGATACTTTAATAACTATTTTCAAATTTAACTAGCAGAAAGTGATGTTTGAATGATGCTCCTAAATGTAGGCAACGTTTTCAGTTGAGAGCAATTTTACAGATAAAAATGAAGCTTGTAAATGTGCACCTATATAAATTTAAATATTTTACCGAAAAAATTGTAATAATACCGAAATAATATAATATAAAATAAAATTTAATAAAATAAAATAAAAGGACATAAAAAAAATTCTTACAACTTGCCACACTGTCAAACAATGCTAGCGACTCCTCAAGTGTGCGTCACGAACTTCTTTCCAGCAACTGACAAGCAACAATTGGTCCATTATATCATAGTTAAGTACGAATATACATATACACACATATACATATGTAGATGTATGTAATGCAAATATAATAAGTCACTTTCAATTACTTCTTTTTCATGTGGCTTACCGGAGCGTTAAAGGAGGGGGTGCCCGCCTGCCATGCGTCAAACAGTAAACAAGCACCGTTATGTCCGCCTATCGTCAACGGCGTTCAAGACAGCAATTTGTAAACTGATCCAACCGCAAGGTTAACACTTTATTATGCAATTAATTTTTCTACGCTTGCCAACTTTGGGTAGGAGTACTATTATATTAACAGCACCCAAGGCAGCTTAACAGTTTTTAAGATTTAATCGATTAAAAAATGGAATTTATATGCAAATTTATAAGATAATTAAGGAAAAATTGGCAGCATAAATGTAACCGTGTAAATAAACTTCAATATGTATATGTTTAAGTAATTCTGAAAAGATTAAGTATTCAAAGGAGCTTTGACCAGGAATTTCGAACTTTTTAGAGCATCCAGAATAGGTAGCTGAATTAATCGATAAATGTAGTGAAATTTATCGATCTAATTTTAGATATAGAAAAGAAAAATTAATCTCCAAAAAATTAAATTTAATTAATTAATCTAATTAAATAAATTAATTAAGTATATTAAAAATGATTTAACATATGTATTAGTGGTTAACAAAAGTTAAAAACCCCTTACTTTGTAAGGAGAGAAATGTCTACGAAAAAAGTTTAGGTGCAGTATATAGTGGAGCAAAAGGCTACAACGGCAACATCCTAAGTAGTTCCTGTATACATATTTCTTGGATATTTTCTTCATTAAGAACTCACAAAGTATTCGATTTGCCAATGCAAATATCGAAAATGATGAAGAGTTTCTGGGAATACTTCCAAAAATTTGTCTTGGGCTACTAAAGCTACTTCAGAGTCTTATATTTTGGAAAATGGTCACTGCTGCATGTTGTGTGCCAATAATAGT